TGCGTTCTACATGGTCTCCCTGAAAACAAGACCAAGTTGCGACAACGAGGTCAACCCACTTCTAGACTAAGCCAAGCTTATGATTGTGATCCAACAACGCAATGTATAGGCGATTTGTTTATGAAATAAGAGCTTTGATGTGATAATATTATGAAAGCGAATACGACTAATCAAGTCGGACAAAATTCCCCACATTTATAAATAGTGCCTTGAGCATCTGCTTACTACTTTCCAAAAAATCAGCTACTTTTTAAAACAACATTCAAGTTGGATTGAGAGGAGTGTCAATTCATATTATTTCAATTCGTTTGAAAATGCGAGTGGAAGGAACTTGCAACTTGGCCTCAGTGGAAGTCGGACTGTCTTGAAGTTGTGACTGTAGATTGGTGCAGTCCCGCAAGTGGTAGGCGCCTCTTCAAACGAAGTGAAATGTGCGACATAAAGTTATGAAAGCATTCTTCGAAACCAAGCTATTCTTCACAATTTATATCTTCATCAAGAAAAACAAACGCAAACATGTAAGAAGCAAATTTTCGTCCCAAAAGCAATATCCTAGTGTCTACCATTGTAATCAACTTGTAGTTTAAAAAAAATTCAAAATAAAAAGTCTAAAATCATTAAATGTCTCATCTGGCGATAACTGGACATATATGTACAAGGAAAAACTATCAGTCTGGCAGCAAACCTTGGAAAAAAGTTTTAAAATTTGATAAACAAATGAAATAAACATCAGATAAAATCACTAGAATCTGAGCTAAGGTAGAGATTATGGGGATATGCAGATGGAAAATGCCATATGGAAATGTATTCCGACCGAAGAACCGAAATCTGAATTTTATCGTGAATGGAACGTGAGAACGATATGAGTGCTAGGACTGAGTGCAGCTAGATGGCATATCTTCCGGGTATAGTGATTCAAATGGCTGTTTCTTCTGAGGCACATGTTGCTGCTGCCCTGATGTGGGTTGATGTGTTGCCACTTGAGCGAGCCGGGATTGCTGCTGAAGAGAAGCTACTTGGCATTGAGCCAACGGCGGACGATGTTGATCCCTTGCTGGTGGTTTAGCAGATTTGGAGAACATATGAGAGGAATCTGACTGTCGAAGAATCGATTCAGACTTAGTTCTTAACTGACTGCTAGGATGTGACAAATGCATTCGGCCTAATGTATGATGGTCTGATACACTAGGGGCCAGAGCGGAAGAGGAAGAACAATAAGAATTTTCCTGCTTTCGCTGAATCCTATCTGATGGATGGCTATTTAGTGATTGAGGTTCCGCCTGCACTGTTTCGTGGTGCTCGTTTGTTCCGAAAATAGGCCCTCGTAACCTTGGAGTCGGTGTAGGCATAAACAGTGATGATTGGCTTCCATATAAGAGGCCAGCGGAAAGTCTGCTGTCTGACAGGTCCGTATTTTCGACCAGAAGGCTCGTGTGTGGCTCGAATTCAGAGCTAGGAAAATCCGCCTGCTTTGAGGTGACTGCAGATTCAGAGACTTGGAAGTGGGAGGTCAAATTTGATGTTACTGTTGTTAAAGTCGAAGAGGTGGACGCGGATTCAAAATCATTGGCATTTGTGAAAGCCTCTTTAATTGGTCGCACATGAGAGGAGGGTTCAAGGTTCGATGAGTCCCAGAGTGGAGATATATTTGCAGTTGATGAAAGTGTATACGTAGAAGCAAAGAGTGAAAAAGATGGGTTCGTGGGTGTTGTGGCAGGAGTGGTCGCCGTAAATGATAGAGGATTCTGGTCTAATGACGGACAGCAAGGATTCTGTCGACAGGCAAGTGGTCGGCTTGAGAGAGCAGCAGGAACAGGTGTCTTCAGGGCCAGGAAAAGAAGAGAAGAGATTTGAATGGGAAAAAATATGTTGATAATGCTGGTATTTAATGATTCGTTCCAGATGTTGTCTAGCTCTAGTTCTGGCTATATACTAATAGTACATTTATCCTTTTAGAAAAACCCGAAGGCCCAATGCGAAAGTCAGGTTAAAAATATATATTAATATGAGATCTACTCACCCAATTTCGTTTAAGGTGATGAAGGACTGGCAGTAGAATTTTCCCACAATGATATGAGTAGAGTCTGGCCTGGCTTGGCCTTCCCTGAAATTCACATCTGCCCTTTGACCCAAGGACACTCGTGGCAATGTAGCCGAGTAGTTATTTCGTCAAGCTAAAATGCTAATAGAAGTGGGTTGACCTCGTTGTCGCAACTTGGTCTTGTGTTCAGGGAGACTATGTAGAACGCACC